GGAATGGAATGGGGAGAGGGCTCCCCCCCCCTCGCCCCTGCCACAGCGGGGTGGGCTGCTGGGCGGGGGCACGGCCAAATCCTGCACAGGGAGGGCAGCGAGGACAAAAATACCATGGAAAACTCCTGGTCCAGCCACCCCAGCGAGGGCACCGGTGGGTACCAAGGGCCGGGTGACCGATGCTGCCACAGGATGCCCCAAGGTGGGGGCAAGGGGGAGCACGGCCCCCCCTCGCCCCTGCCACAGCGGGGTGGGCTGCTGGGCGGGGGCACGGCCAAATCCTGCACAGGGAGGGCAGCGAGGACAAAAATACCATGGAAAACTCCTGGTCCAGCCACCCCAGCGAGGGCACCGGTGGGTACCAAGGGCCGGGTGACCGATGCTGCCACAGGATGCCCCAAGGTGGGGGCAAGGGGGAGCACGGTGACACTGGACAGCCGGGACTGTGCTGGTGTGTGGCCTCCGGGGAAGGGGACTTGGTGGCCTCCCTGGGGTGCTTGGGGCCAGGAAGCATCTCCTGGCCCCTCGGGGCTCTCGGCACAGCCCTTTCGGCTGGCGTTTCCCTGCTCCCCAGCCCACAGGGCAGCCCTGGAGTCGGGGGCAGAGGGAAACCCCCTGTCTCTCCTTGATGCTGCGGGAGTGAAAGCCCACACGTGTACCCATGTATGCGGGGGGGGGGGGGCTGGCAGGGAGACCCTGACCTCGAGGACGGACCCTGCCCGGGGACGTGCCGCCACCAACCCGGACCATCTCGGTTGTGGTCATGACAAACAGCACCTGCACGGCTCCAACCCGGCACAGGAGCAGCTGAGGGGGGGACAGGGTGGGGCTGAGCCCTCGGGGGGGGGGGGGCTGGCAGGGAGACCCTGACCTCGAGGACGGACCCTGCCCGGGGACGTGCCGCCACCAACCCGGACCATCTCGGTTGTGGTCATGACAAACAGCACCTGCACGGCTCCAACCCGGCACAGGAGCAGCTGAGGGGGGGACAGGGTGGGGCTGAGCCCTGCTGCCGGAGCAGGGGGAGCGAGGTGCCCATTTTGCTCATGCGACATTTGCCCAAATGGCATGAAATCACCCCCAACCCAGCTACAGCTCCAGGGAGCTGGGAAAAACCTCTGGTTTGTCCGACAGGGTTTATGGATCCAACAGAATGAGCAAAATCAGGTTTATTGGGTGGTTTCTTAACACCAGGCCCAGGGAAGGGGATTGAGACACAGAGCGGGGAGGACAGGATGGGGTGAACCCGCTCGTGGTGCTGCTGCCCACCGCGGGGAGGCAGGAGGGGAGGGCTGGGAGGGGGGAGAGGAGAGACGAGGGGGGGTGGAGGGCAGCAAACTGGCTGTGGTTACCTTGCCTGTGGCCTGAGCAAGGTGGAGACCACCGCCAGCACTGGGGTGTCAGCAAGAACAGAGGGGAGTGAGCCCCGCCGCCCGCGGCAGGAGCGGTCCCCGGGGATGGAAGAGGGATGGGTGCTGGGCCAGGGGGGACACACACCATCCCATCCCAAAGCGCTCCTCTTCCAGCTGCTGTGGCCCCCCCACCCTCTCCTCATGCTGCCAGGTACCCTGGTACCATCACCCTGTCCGCGACACCCCCCCTCTCAGGACGAACTGCTTCTGCGGACACGGCGTCGCGATGCATGGAGGGTCCTGGCTCTCCGACCCCCCCCGGGATGGGTTGGGCAGCCCCAGCCCGGGTAAGTGAAGCCCCTGGGAGCCCCTGTGCCAAGCACATGGCTCTACAGCACCCATCACCGTGGCCAAAATGTTCTGCAAGGAGGTCTCAGGGTCCCTCAGGGCGAGGGGACCAGCGCTGGGGCTCAGTCCTGTCCATCGGGGCAGTGGTGGCACACAGGGCTGGGGGACGAATGACTCCGGCTTCAGCCTCACACCACACTTGTAATGAGTTTGCCACTCTCAGCACAAAGTCGTGTCCCCGTCCCCAGCAGCCAGCTTGGAAACCACCACACCAGGCACGGACGGGGGCGAGAGCCCTTCCTGCACCTGACAGCCAGGTCCCTGCGCTCCCAGCCCCACCGGGCTCAGCCAAGGCAAAGGGAGACACCGAGAGAGCCCAGTCCCCAAAAGCAGCACCCGCAAGGTCTCCCCTGCCCACCATCCACACCCTCGCCCCATATGAGGCAGCGAGGGAGATGCCGGGGCTGTGGGCAGCCCGCGGCTCGCCCTGCTGCCAGGAGAGCCGGCTGGGACGGCGCTAGAGATAGTCTACCTGCTGCTGGCCCTGGATCCGCATGTACTCCATCCGCTGCTTTATGTGCTTGCTTTTGTCAGGGCTGCCCTGCTGGCTCTGCTTCAGCCGGGACGCCGGGTTCACCACCTTCATGGCTGGGATGGAAACACCACCGCTCTGTTGGGACAGAGAATTTGGGGAAGGGGGTTAAAACCTTGGGCAGATGAAAGCCCACACCGGCACCGTCGGCAGCTGGGCACTGCCAGCGCTGGGCGTCGGATGCCTGGAGCTGTGCTGAGCCCCTGCGGCACCATCGTGCCATCCCTGCCCTGACAGCCCATGGCGGCAAACCCAGACAAGGACGAGGTCACCGGCTCCACGTGCCAAAGGAGCCCTCACCGGGCAGCGCTTTGGCAAGCTCAGAAACCAGCCAGGACTTACCGACAGCCACCGCTGCAACGCAAACACGGAGTTAGGGGCAGACACGGCAAACACCGGGAGACTGAGGGCAGGGGGAGAGCATCCCTGCCGGGGCAGGGGTGCATGGCCAAGAGAAAGGAAAAGAGGCGATGGCAGGCAGAAGCAGATTCCAGGTGGAAACGGCGGCAGTGGGAATACAGAGGGTTTTATTAACTAGCTGTGCACAGATGGAGATACAAACACTTGCAAGAGCAGCAGCGAGGGAAGCGGTATCTGTACGCACGTCCCCTGGCACTGCAGGTCGCTAAAGTGGTGCCTGCGGAGGAGCCCGGGCAATGCCACACGCCGCAGGCTCGTCACGCATCCCCCCACTGCCTGGGACACCCCAGATCCTCTCCCTGCCATGACTGCTGCCTCCTGCCTGCCCCATGCCAAGTCTGGACCCGCTGCTGCAGGCAGCAAAACTGGCAGCGCCGATGCTGCCCCAGAGACGTGCAATTGCTACCCAGATTGCACCTCCGATGGGAGAGGGCCAACAGGTTATCGCAGTGAGGCCAGGTTAGTAAATCAGTGCAGGCACGGCTCTCTGTGCTGCCTGTCCTGCCTGCCCTGCTCCGTGATCCTCAGTGGCCCCATGGATGGGACACGGGGACTCCCGTACCCCACAGCACAAGGAAATCCAGTTCCTGCCTACACCGCACCTTCCCCAGTGCCCCAGCATCCCCGGCACAAGCAGGCACCGGAGCTCAGCCTTCGCAACCAACTCGCAGCATCCTTGAAAGGTGGCACAAGACCTGCCCTCTCCTGCTCTGCTTTCAGGACCGACTAAGCCAGCCCCGGCTGCGCAGCCTCTCCTGCCGAACCCTGAGCTGAGCTTTGCTTTGTGCGTACCTGCGCACGTGCCAGCCACAACCATAAATCCATCCTGCAGCTCCGCTTCTAGTTTGCCGGGCTCCGGCGGTGCAGCGGGAGCTGACAACAGGAGAAATTGGAGCTACACCCACTTGACGGCCCATTCACCCAGCGAGAGCACCGCAGCGGGGCCGCGGCGTCGCTGAGAACCAGGGCTGAGATAATTGCTGCAAATGAAAGAGGAGATTTATTCCCCAGCGTTGACTGTTAATAAAGGAGCAAGCTGACGTCGGAGAGGCTGAGGGCATTTTCCCCCCTCTTTTCCCAGCTATTCAGCCAGCTGAGCGGCTGCTGCGGATTCCAGCAGAAACCAATTTGGATGGCTTCGGGGAGCCCGTGCTGTGATTTAATTAGGAGAAACAGCTGCCATGCTCAAACTGCAGTTTGTTAGAAAAGCGCTTATGCAAAACGAGGGACGCTGCTTCGTCACCCAGTGCACCCAGCCCTTGCCGGCCCCGTGGGATGCTCATCACCAGCCCCGTGCTCATCACCAGCAGCGTGCTCAGCCCCAAAACCTGCCAGGGCAGAAGATACCAGATAGCCAGGGTCTAATCCGGTGCTATGCACAGCAAGGGATGGGCACCCGGTGGCACCGGCACCAGCGAGGGGCAGATGGCAGCACTGCCTGGCACCGCCTGCCTTTACACTGCTGACTCTTGCTGCCTGCAGTCTCACTCCTCCTTGCCTGCACCTCCCAAACCCGTTCAAGTGACAGGGAGAAAAAGAGATTTGTTTTCCACCTTGGCTCTGCCTGGAGGTAGAGTCACAGAGAGGGAGCAGGTAGAGGTGGAGGAAGAGAGACATCAGAGTGAGTCCAGGGCACAGCACAGCAAGAGGGATAACAGAAAATAAACCTGCGGAGTGCCGAGGGGGAGCTGCGGCTTGGGTAGCAGAGGTGGCTTGGTCTTGCTTGGAGCTGGACTCTCAGGAGCATCACCTTTGGCCTGACTGAGGTCCAGGGCAGTCCCATTGTCACAGCTACTGTGTTTGAGATCCCCCAGACCTTCCTTGGTCTCCTCGCTGGCATCCTTAGATCCTGCTTGTCCTAGCAGATCTTTAGAGAATACAAATTCAACCGAGGGATGGCTGCTGATCTCACTGATGGTTATTTCCAGCTCACGGATAGTTTCTTCCAGGCTATCCAGTCTCTGGTATGTGCCTTCATAAATCTCTTTGCTGCGTGGAGTCATGGAGCGGCAAGGGGACAACTGCCCTTTGCAGAGCCCCTCCGGCACCTTCTCCCCTGCCCCAGCATCCTCCGTGCTGCCTTCGCCCCCAGCAGCCGGAGCCACACCACCCCAGCCCGGCGATGCTGCGCAACGGCTCGGCCTTGAGAAAGCAACGACCTGCTCCTGGGGACGCTCAGCCTGGGACCGTCCGCTTCCCCGTGGGGCTGGATCCCTGCCCAGGAAAGCTCCAGGATTTGGCACTGGGCAGGCTGGGGCTGGCGAGTTGTCCTCCCTCTGCACTTGTCTGCAAGCCCCAGCAGAGTCTCCAGGAGGGAGCGATGCCTCCCGCACACTCTGCCTGGCTCCTCCTTGGGGGTCCCCATCACCGGGAAGCTGGGGGACGGTGATGGGCCCTCTGCTGCCTGCACCGGTGGAGGGGAGCGCTGCCTCTCCAGCGCCGGGACCCGTGGCTTCCCCCCGGGGATGAGGAGGCTGTGCAGCCAAGAGACCTCGGTGAGAAGTCTTGCTGCTGCCTTCTTGCCTGCCGGCAGTGTTCAGAGCAGCGTCCCCTCCTTCTCCCCCCGCGGGACAGCTCGTTTTATGCTTTGAGAGAGACGGGACCTTGCTGGCTGCTAGAGGGAACCTCCAAGTCTCTGCTGCTGCATGGGCACGGCCCCGAGATGGGCTGCTCGGGGGCTGCGGGGCTGAGGCTGGAGGGTACCCAGGTGTGGACAGAGACTTTTTGGAGATGCCAGGAGACACACGGCATTTCCTTCCCCCCTTGGGTGCAAGCTCCCCTCCGGCTCCTCCACCGCCGGCTGGGTCCCCGTGCTCCGAGCAGCCCGTTTCCGCCCACACCTCTGGTTCGGCTTCAGGGGACGGCGGTTCAGACACCCACTCGGTGAGCACAATCTGCGGGAGGGAGAAAGCCCTGCTCCCCGGGGCTGCCAGGGCCAACGGCTCCTAGGTAGAGAATTCAGACATATTAAGAGCCAGGGGAGAGCGGTGGGAGGGAGCGGGGAGCTGCCGGGGAACACTACGTGTCCGCACGCGCTACCTGGGTCCCCCATTGCTGGTGCCTCCAGGCATCGTAGTGCTGCAGGGAGGTGTTCAGCCGGGAAGGGAGATGCTCGGCTCCCTCCTGCCCAGCCCTGACGTCCCATCGGTACCCACAACACAGAGACTGGTTTTCTCCTGTGCTTAAGGCAACCTGGGTCTGGGAGATTTTGGCAATAACTTGCCCGGAGTTTTTAGCAAAAACGAGTCGGTGTTGCTGCACCTCCTGAATGCCTTTGGAAACCCGACTGCCACCGTCTGGCTCGCATTTCTCCCATGCTGGTATAAACTGGCACGGCACTGGTGCAAGAGCAGAGCCTAGCCCTCACGGGCTGCTCAGCCCCGCAGGACACCGCTGCTCCCAGCAGAGCTGAAGGCAGGGGACGAACCATCGCAAATGAGCTGCCAAGGGACACCAGACCTTTAAAACCCTGAGCAGCAAGAAGTCACTGTCCTTCCTCCCCCACCTCTCTGTTCCTGTCCCAAGGGAGATGCAACGAGCCGTGCAATGCCCGGGGGAGTAAAGCCGGCTGCGCCCTCCGTGGAGGCGAGAGAAGGCAGGCGAGCTGGAGAGATGCTCTGGCAGAAGAGGTGCCCCCTTGCAGGTGCAGCCACAGGACCTCTGCCCCGCGCCCGAGCCCTGCCCTGGCCAGGGGGGCTGCCGCCTCTGCAGGGGCTCCGTGTGCTGCCGGCACCAGCACCGTGGCCTCACGGCAGAGCAGGGCAATACGGTGGTTACACCACACTGCTGGGTGGCACAGGAAGGGCAGCGGGGACGCATGCCCTGGCATGGCGTGTCTCACTTGTGCCCCAGCCCTGGGGCTCTGAGTAACACCCGGGGCAGAGAGGGAGGGAGACACGAGTGCTGGGATGGCTACGGAGCTCTGGGTCCGGAGCTGGATCCGTCCGAGCTCTGGGGAGAGGGGACCTTGCCCACAGGGACAGGAGATGCTGCTCTGGGGCAGCCATATTCGATTCAGCCCTGGTGCTGGGTCTCCCAGGAGAGGGGAGGGACCCAGCGGGACCCCTGCAATGTACCCAGACCCCCACCAGCAGCTGACCTGCCTTGGATGAAGTAGTGCTCCCCTTGCTAGACACTTTCCGGCGAGGGGCTCAGCGGCACCCTCTGTCCTGCTCTCTACCCTTTTGCTCCCCCACCCCAGGCATCCCCTGCTCCATCTCATCCACTCTCCGGGCACCTTCCTTTCCTCCTGCTCTCTCCAGCCTGGAGCCCAGGGCAGGAGGGCTGGGAGGGAGCCGGGCTGCGCCTGCCCCAGCAGCCCAGCAGCCAGGAGGGATGATGGGGCCAAGCCCAAGCGGGTCCCAGCAGCTGCCGTGGGGCCAAGCCCAAGCGGGTCCCAGCAGCCGCCGGCCTCCGCCCCAGCCCTTCCCCTTCTGCTTGCATCATGCACGTGGAGCAGAGTCTCCCTGCACAGGGCACGACATGCATCGCCCGCCACGGCCCCCTTCCAGTGACACCCTCCCCAGGCACCCAGTGCGGCATAAGAGCAGTGAGCCCTCCCCGTGCCCTGCCCGGTGCGGTGCTGGAGTGGCCCCTTCCTTCCTCCCATCCGTGTGGCTGCAGGATCTGGCCCTCATGGGAGCTTCAGCAGCCCCGTGCTGCTGTTGCATGGGTTAGTGCTTGGTCCTGTGCCGTGTCAGTGCCGTACACGCAGTGGCGGTGAGTGAGGGAGTGGAGAGAAGCCATTAGTTTGTTAAATCAGAGAAAGAAGCAGAAGCAAGTTAAAAAGAGGCGGGAGAGGAGGTGGTTAAAGTGCAGCCCGTAGTCAGGAGAAGGGATCGTCGCTCGGAGCGAGCTGTTACCTTCCATCCTTCGGCTGCAACGGAGGCTCCGTTGGGCCACATGTCTGCGTGCCTGGGGCAGACGGCAGCCGCGAGCGGATCGTAACGGAGCTTGGGAAGGAAAGGGGAGGCAGAGCTTCTCTGAAACACCTGGGGAGTCAAACACGGGGGGTTGGAGGAGGGAGGCTTGGGGGTAACGACGACGCAGCCCATGCCTGCAGGGATGCTTGCCATGGTCACACCAGGATGGGGGCTCGGCAGCTGTTGGCAGCAAGCGAAACATTGGCTGTTCTCATCAGCTGCAGAGGCATCCCCGTCCCTCTGCTGCCAGCAGCATCGCTGGTCCCCCTGCCTGCAGCATAGCTGGTCCCCCTGCCTCCTGGGGGGAAACCAGTGGGAAAAACCATCCACGACCCACTTGGGCACCTTGACCACAGCAAACGGGCGAGGACATGGGGCACAGGCAGCTTGGAGGGGTTCAGAGCCTCAGGACGGCGTCTCAGGTGGGTTCTCTGCAGGGTGCACAAAACCCAACAAACCTCCAGCTGAAGCTGCGCAGCGTTAAAAAACAAATGAATTTGGCTTAAAGCCCAAGACGGGGTGGAAGCGCCGAAGACAGACGGTGAACCAGGCACGCAGCACCTGGACCCGGCAAGGGGTCCGGCAGGGTGCAACTGCTCTGTGCTGCCCATCGCCATGGCACCGTGCTCCTGCTGGGAGACAGGTGAGGAAGGGCAAGCCCACTGCTGTACTGATGCTTGGGATGTCGTTCCCTGGACCCGATCCCAAGGTGCTCCCCCCGCAGGTGCCGGGAGCCGGGCGCAGCCACGCATGAGCAGACAGGGCAGGGTGGGCATCGCCTCCTGTGCGGGTAAGCTGGGGCATCCCGCAGCCCCTCCCGCTCTCACCTCCAGCTCCGCGATGATGCGGTCCTCGTCGTCGTCGTCTTTGATGGCAGAGGCGATGATAGGAGGGGTGGACGCCGGCCTGACCACCTCCGACACCGTCCGTCTCAGCTTCACCTGGGGCTTCTGGGTCTCCAGCTCCTCCGACTCGGCCTTCTGCAAGGGAGGAGCAGGGCGGTGAGGGGGGGGGGGCACTGGGAGCCGGGGCTGGTCTTGCCAACGGTGACCCACTCAGTCCAGCCCAGCAGCCATCCCGTGGCCCCGCTCCCTACCTTCATAAAACCGGGCTCCTTCTTGCTGGTGATGATGACTTCGCCGCTGCGGGTTGTGGTCAGCCCGTGGGACGAGGGGAAACTCCGGCGCGGAGGAGGAGGTGGCGGCGATTTGGAGGGTTTCTCGGTCCGATACCGCGGCACCGTCAGTTCGTCTGGGCACAAACGATGCTGTGAGGGCACGAGACCTTTCCCTGCCCCTCTAATACAACACCCGAGGCTCTCCAGCTGCCTCCCCGGGCATAAACCTCCCTTCACGGCAGCATTGCTCAGCCCAGGGAGACTCACTGGTGACGGCACGGCCAGGGCACACACAGGATCAGGCCCCCCCAGCCCTGGGATCTGGAGGTGGACCCCCGCCTTCCCCATGCCATACCTGAGCCCCTGCGGCCATTGGGGTCCCCCTTGCCCCCCGACTTCGGTGCATGCTGTGGCTTGGAGGGCTTGTGCTCGGGCGTGGAGGCGGCGCTGCCGCTGCCTGTGCCTTGCTTGTGCTTGGCAGCGAACTCCAGGTCGGGGATGGCCTTCATCAGCTCGGCTTGCGTCTCCTCCAGGAGGCGGTTGATGTCCTTGGCACTGTACTGGGTCAGCGCTGCCCGCTTCTCCTCCCAGTCCCGCTCGGCAGCCTGCGGACGGCAGGCAGAACCCGCTGCAGCCCTCACCCACGCAGCAGCTTCTCCTGCCCTTGCAGGCAGGACGTGACCCACAGCCCTGCTGCTGCCCGCCAACCTGTTGCCATGCCCAGGAGGAGTGGAGGGGGCCAGCGCTGCACCCATCCCTCATTAAGTCATGTGTCCACACAGGAGATGGTATGGATGTTAATGGAGCTGTATGTCTGATTGCACGTACCTGGATATACCCCCCCCCCCCCCCCAACCCCCCCCCCCCCCCCCCCAATGTGCAGTTGGGGATGCTCCCAAGGCTGCCAGCATCACCTGGGGCTCCCCAACCTCCAGACACCCCATCGGCTACAAACCCAGCAAGGAGGAGGATGGACCCAGTTCCTGTTCCCAGTTTCAGCTGGCAGACGTAGGGATAGACCCGCTAGAAGAGCCCCCCAGCCGAGGAGCCCACCCCAGGCTCTCACCTCCACAGATACGGCTTTGTCCGCACTCTTCTTGCTGGGGGTCTCTGGGCCCGTCTGGGTCTTGGCAGGTACCATCTCTGGAGCTCGGGAAGGGTTATTGCTCTTGGAGGGGTGGGTCTGGGTTTGGGGGGAGCTGTGCCCGAAGCTGGGCATGCCCAGGGTCTCGGTGACAGCCGTCAGGTGGTGGAGGCTCACTGGGGGGCTGGTGGGCATCTCCAAATCCAGCCCTTTGCCGAAGTCTGTCTCAGGGACCACCTTCTTGGGGGACTGGCTGAGGTTGCTGGGGGAGGTCCACACGCCCTCGTCCACTTGCCTGCCAGGGACAGAGCGAAGGCGCTGGGTGGCTGCACGGCACAGGGGGTTACTGCATCCCTCCCCAAGCCACGCCACAAAAAACTTGCTCTCCTGCAACTCTGCATTAGACGGCTGAAGGTTTAGGTTCTCTGATGGCTAGGAAGGGGTTGGAGTTGATGCTACAGCCTCTCTCGGGGGAGCACACGAACGAGCTCCTCTACCTGGCTGTCCATTTTCATGAACCTTGTAGGAAATTGGATCTCTCCGAATCCTGCCCCTCTGTCAGATCTGGCTGAAATTGCACTTTGGATTCAGGAGTTATTAGGGCCAGGGAATGACAGGTAGGCAGATTCAGACACTGCACGATCATAGAAGCTCATTTCCGTAGAAAACCAGGCTAGCAATGAGCCCGAGGCGAGCCCGGTGCCGGAGCACTCCTCCTGCAGCATGGCTGAGCTGTAAGCCATCCCGAAAGGTCTCATAATCGGAAGAGGCAGGTGGGCTCAGGCACGGTGCACGGCCCAGCCTGCCACTATCATTAGATCTGGAAGATGAGACGTTTTTCTGCTCCTCAGGAAAGAGATTTCTGATCACGCCAAGGGTTGCCTTTCTATCTGGATCTACGACCACGCTTTTTTCAAGGTGATAAGGAAAAGTCAGTTTAGAAAGAGGGGTTCCCACATACACGCCAGAAAGGACCAAGGGCATTTTTAAGTTCCTTAGCAGAAGAATGAGCCTTTTTTCAACAGCCCTTGGGATTTGCAGCCGTAACGCAGAGAGGACACCGGCACACACGTGGGGGGCACAGGGACAACTGAAGGGACTGGCTGTGTCCTCCAAGGTGCTCAAGGGGCCGGGGTCAGGGCTCGGTGCTCACCTGCGGATCTGGGCGAGGGTGTCCGTTACCGTCTTGCAGCGCTTGAGCAGACCATCGAGTCGGTTGGGCTCCTCCTTGAGGAACTTGACGGCTTCCACCTCCACCCGCAGCACCACCCGCATCTTGCTCTGCAGGCTGGGGAACTGGGCTGGGATGGGAGAGCGGGGGGTCACCAGGGCCTCACCGTGCCGGGGAGCCCCTCCCGGTGCCCGGCTGGCAGTGCCAGGGCACCCCACACCCACCAAAACCACCACGGCCATCATATCCATGGCAAGGGCACCCTGCCAGACAGAGCGGGATGAATCCTGGGGAGTCTGGGCTGGTGTCTCTCCTGCTCCCCATGCCCATCACCCCTCCTCCGTCCACCTGCAGGCACCAGTCTTAGCCCTGATGGTGCCCCCTCCACATCCATGGGCACCAAACACTGCCCTGGAGCTGGTGGCTTGGTAGCCAGGACCCTGAGGACTTGGTGGTGGGGGCTGACATGGAGCAGGTTGCTCCTGGCTCCCTGCCCGGTGCTCTGCTCACCATCCCGGCTGCTCAGCATCAGCCCAACTTTACGGAAAGGCTGCAGGAAAGCAGAGCTGCTCCTACCTCTGCCCTGTACCCCACGGCCCCCCACGGTCCCCCTTCTTGCAACCTCAGCGGCTGCTGCCAAATCATTGTTTATTGTCTGCCTTGGCTCTGGCAGGGAGGAGCTCTGCCACTTTGAATCGAGGTGCAGGGCGTCTGTTTGCGAAAGGCAGGATGGGGACAGCCTGGGGACGGGAGGCTGCAGGAGCAGCAAAATGAAGGGCAGGGTGCACGGGGGGTTGGCAAGCGCAAGGTCCCGCGGGACAGGGGCAGGCAGCAGCTCCGAGAAACCGTGAGCTGTCGGGGGGACTCAGGCAGAGTCCGCAGGACTGACTTGGACAGCTAGCAGAGCAAACAGGGACACGCAGCAGGAGCGTGGGGTGCAGCCCTCACTCCCGCAGCAGCCCAAAGCCTGCAGGACACACACAACACCGATGGGCACCAGAAGAACCTGCCCTGGGGATGCAGGTGAACACACCGGCAGCTACAAACATGCAAACCCAGAGGCAATGGGCAACCTGGAGCATCCCGCGCGTGAGGATGGAGCAGGGAGATGCAGGCAGGCTCCGCTTGCCACCCAGCCCCAGACACGGCCACCTCCTCACCCTTGAGGTCTGTCAGCGTCTCCCCCAGCTGCTTCAGCACCACCGCCTTCTCCTCCAGCTCCTGCACAGGGATGAGCCGGTGGTTGTGGGCCAAATCCTTCTGGATCTTCTCCACTGACTTCTCCAGGTCACTGTGAGCACAGAGGCAGGGCAGGGGTGTCACTGCCGCTCCGGGATGCTGGAGAGCCCCAGGGGTGGCCAGCCTGGCAGGTCCCCGCACGGCAGAGGGCAAAGCACAACGGGGCTGGGGACCCCTCCCCATGCTAGACATGCGGTCAAGGATGTGACCTGGCACCGTGCAGAGCTGCTGATTTACACCCATGAAGGATCTGGCTCATGGAGGTCAGCATGCAAGGACCCCCTCCCCACTTGCATGCCTAGCCTTGCAGCCAACCCCAGCTCACTTGAGCTGCTGGGTGATCAGCTCCTCCTCGTTGAGGTAGCGGAGCCGCTCCTCTTCCACCAAGCTGCGCTGGCGCTGCAAGGGGTCCTCGTGCTTGCGCATGGTGTCCGTCACCCACACGCTGATCTCCGTCTCTGTCCGCCGCAGCATCGTCTTCACCGTCTCCTGGTTTTGCAGCTGCGAGGACGAGGAGGGGGGGATTCAGGCTGGGCAAGATCCCCCCGATGGGGACTGGTGTGCCTGCAGGGCTGGCCACTTGTAGGGACAGCTCTGAGCTCGGTGTGGAGAAGGATCCCCTCGCTCTCCCACACCCAGCCCCATGCAAAGTCACCAGAAAGGGCGATTTTCCCGCTCTGGGGCTGGAGCCATCCCAGTACGAGCTGGGCTGGGTTGGGGTCCCCCCCTGGTACCCACCTGCAGCTTCTTGAGCTGCTGCAGCTGATTGCGGAGGTCGCTGGCATTCTGCTGCAGGTCGTGGAGGTGCAGCTGCATGTGCAAGCGGGTGATGGCAGTGGGCTGCCCCGCCGGCGTGCTGGTGGCGGAGGGCGGCGGGGGCGCGGGCACCGGCGTCCCCATGCCGCTGCGGCTGGTGGCTGCGGGGAGGGCAAGCAGAGGCTGCTGAGGGAAGATACCGCACCCCGGGGGAGGTTGCAGACTCCGCTGCTCTGCTTTCCCGGGAAAGACCTCTCTTTCCCCACCCTGTGCTTTGATCCAGCAGTTCTGGGTGGTCTACCCGCTACCCCCATGCTGGCTCTAGGGAGAGGCCACCCCGGAGCTGCCCCTTAGCGGGACGGGGGGTCCCACTGGTTGCCAGCATGTGGTGGGGGCTGCAGAGTCCCCCGCTCCTGCACCCACCCTGGGACTCCCAGCAGCTGTGGGCAGAGGGAGGGGGTGCTGCAGGGTGAGGGGCTGGCTCTCCAGTCACTTACACGCTGATGGGGGGGTCCCACCATTGGTGGCTTCTGTCTTCTCGCTGCAATAAAAGAGAGGAGGGGAGTGAGCGTGGACCAGGCACCTCTGTCCTCACTGGCTCAGGGGGCCGCAGGCGCACGGCGAGGGCTGGCATCCCCCAGGAGGGGGGCAGGAACCCCCAGCCTTGGCAGCAAACAGCCCAGCTGGAGGCATCCCCCTCCCCGCAGCAGACCCCAGGGTCCCACGCCTGCCCTCCCACTCCTTACCTGGGGGTCTCGGCCTCGGAGCCGCGGAGCAGCGCGCTCTGCACCAGTCCCGTCAGGCTGGCGATCTGCTTCTCCATCGCCTCCATCCGCTCCCTGCCATGGGGAAGGGAGAGGGGCCAGGTGAAGAGCTGGCTCCGGCACCACAGACACCCTCAGGCTTGTCCTGGCCTCACCTGCACCCACCCACTGGGTCCCTGCAAGTCCCAGGAGGGACGTCGGGGAGGCGGCAGCGCTGCTGTCACCAGCTACATCCACCCCCTTCATTCCCTCTGTCTTCTTGCCTCCACCTACCCCCAGTCGCTCCCCTCAGCCCTGCAAAATTTGGTGCTTCATTACCCATCCCGGCACCTCTGCTGCAGTGATGACGGGGCAAAGCCTTCCTCCACTCTTCCGCTACCTTCCCAGCTGCACCGATGGACAACCACCCGAGCAGCAAAGCTCATATCCGCAGGGGGGGTTTCCCTTCTCACCTTGTTTCTGTGTCCTTGGCCGGTCCAGGGGAGCCAAACCCTGAGAGCGGGCGATCGCCGGGGCCGGGAAACAGCTCCGGAGGGCCGGAGGAGCTGGGGTTGCGTGGCTTGTTGACGGGGCTCTCCATGAAGACGGAGGAGCAGGAGTCCTTGCGGAAGGACTGACGGACGGGCGAGGAGCGGCTGGGGGGTCCCGAGTAGGGGCTGTGTGGGCTCTGTCCCGGCTGCACATCCACCAGCCGGCCATCAGCCATCTTCTGCGGGGAGGAGGGGGGCATGCGGAAACCCAAGCCGGGTCCGTACGTGTCGCTGTAAATGGGTGCGTTGGGCTTGTACAGGCTGTCCTCCAGCTCCGTCTGCAAGGCGGCCGCCGAGTAGGTGCTGAGGGAGCGAACGGAGCCCCGCTTGTACAGCCCCCCCGAGTAGCCAAAAGGGTCTCCCATGCCAGCCAGGGACTGGGTGGAGGTGATGCTGAGCCGGCCCTCGTGCACCATGCCGTAGGGATCGGCATACAGCCCCTCATTCTTCACCAGCACCACGTTCTTCCCGGCCAGGTCCTCGTCAGGCTTCACGTCCCGGCGCTCCAGGATGGCGCTGGGGCTGGGCGAGACGCCCTGGGCAGGCGGCAGGTTGGAGAGACGCTCGCTGTGATGGACGGGGCTGCCGGCGTAGGAGGGCGGGCGGCCCCCGCTGTAGGACATGCGGGAGCGGGACGGGGAGGAGGACTGGAGCACCGGCGGAGGGGAGCCGGAGGTGAGGTGGGAAGCCGGGGACATGTTGTTCAGCCGGCGGGTGGGAGATGACTCTCTGGAGGTGTACACCATCTCCCTCTGCGGAAAGGGGCAGGGGGGGTCAGCACCGCGTCCCTGCGGGCTGGCCCCCTGCCCTTGCTCTGCCTGGCTGGAACCCTGCCTTGCTGCACCCCTCCAAGGACCAAGATCTGCAGCTCCTGCGTCTTTACCTGGCCTTGGCAAACGGCAGCTCCCTCATTCCCGTCCAGGAGCGGGATGATTTATTCTGATGAATCCCCTAATTATCATGTTTATTACCCTGCTGTCAGGCCCCAAACATCCATTCTCTTAAAGTAACACTTAACAACGCTGGAACTGGGCAAGATGAATCGCAGTCATTACTCCTTCCACAAACACATGCAATTACCAGTCCCTGTCTCCATCGCTTTCTCTCTTTACTGGTCCCAGCCGTTGGGTGCACCCACACCACAGGCTCTCCCTGTGACACCCCGTCCCCCCTTACCCTCAGGTCGCCGTTGGTGATGTGCGAGGCTGGGAACGAAGCATAGAGCGGCTCTTTTCGGTAGATTTTAATGATACTTCTGTCCTGGATATCGCTGAAAGGAGAGGCAGAGCCGTGAGCATCCCGGATAGGCAGCCGCCAAGTCCCCAGCAAGTCCCAGCCGCAGGACTGCACCCACACCCACCCTTCTGCTTTCATCCCACTGATTTCCTTGCTCGTGATGCCCTTAAAGAAAGGAAAATCAGTCTGTGGTGGATTTCTGAGCCCCCCACCCTCACCGGACATCCTCCAGCTCGTAGAAGACATTGCGCGACTCGTCCTTGATGAGGATGGCAGTGTTGGGAGACTTCAGCATCCCCATGGTGAGCTTCTGGGGGAACATGTGGACAATGAGGGCATGCAGGGTGTCCATGCTGCTGATCTCGTGGGTGATGTGGACGCGCCTCGTCTCATCCCCAAACTGCAGGAAAAGGACCCCTGGAAGCAGAGGGAGCAGAAAGCGGTGAGGTGTGCCCGCAGCCCTTCTCCACGCAACGCCGAAGACGTGCCGAGGCAGGTTTGCCCACCAAGCAGGTGGGCGCAGGAGGTCTCTGTGCACACCCGACCGAAGGCTCGGGGACCTCTGTGCCACCCAACCTCGCCCTGGAGCAGCAAGGCCAAAGGCAGCTCATCCCCCTCGACCACCCCACACAGCGTGCAGTGCCTCCCCACTCCTCCTGGGGGTTATTTGGGCAGATACAAACCAATCCCACACCCGGCACACGCCGGCGTCTGCCCGCAGAGGTGGGCGGAGATATTTGGTGGTGGCCAGGCAGGTACGTGCTGCCGGTCCCAGGGGATGCTGAGCCCCGAGGGTACCTGGCGATCGCAGCTTCGTCTGGCTGGTGGACCGGGACAAGGGCAAGCTCTGCCGGAACCGGTTCATCCTGTTGAACCCCAGGGGCAGCTCCGCTTCCGACATGGTTTCCAGGGATTCGGCCGAGGCAAAGGAGAGTTTGGCTTGATCGGCCAAGCCGGGCTGGGAGCCCTGGGAGTGCCGGGAGCTCCTCGTCTGGAAGGGGAGAGGGGAGAGGTCAGAGGAGAGCTGCGCTGGGTACCCCAGCCCCAGTCTGCTCCCCTGGATGCAGCGGTGTGCTGCTCCCACGTTTCCTCCGGAGCCCGGTGCCGGGATGGAGAGGCTCAGGTGAGGCTGAGCCGCGTCCAGGGATGCTCAGTCCTGGTTCCCCGGCTGAGTCAGCACATCGACGTGGTCCAGACGCGGTGCCAGCTCGAGGCCTCCTCCATCTCCTGCTCTAAGCATGTACAACCATTTACTGTCCCCTTGTCTCCTGCAATTGTTCGCTCACGTTTTCTGCTTCAGGCTCGCAGCACTCTATTTCAAAGCCTCCCGGTGCTGTTCCAGGCGCATTTGAGTTCCCCCACCAGCAACCTACTCGAAATAAAACCAGTGCTAGCTAGCTAGCGACAGAGCCAGGGCTCGCATGCGAGCACTGGAATAACCTTAGCAATTACAGGAGGTTACACATCCATTACGCCAATGAACCAGCTCCCGGGAAACATAAATGCCCAGCTTATTCTGGAAGCAAAGCAGCGGCAAGGTTTATGGCTGCCTGAGCCGGGGGAAAGTAATGGGTTTGGGTTTATAGCAGTAAAAATTTAATATGCCAGGAGTCCAATTTCACACGGCCAAGCGTATATCCACTGCGTAAAAGTTCAGGCTACAGACATGGGCTTTCTGCACAAACATCTCCAAACACACAGCCGGGTCCCCTTGCCGCAGGTACCTGCCTGGCAGTGGAGCGAACGCTGCCTGTCAATACCCCAAAATACAAGGCTTGATTTTCCAGACACATGTTTAACGTTGGCAAATCAAACGGAGAGAACAAACAGCTCCTGGGGTGTGGAAAAGGCGGCATGGAAGGGACAACAGCTCTATTTTAAGACCAAAAAGAAAAATCAATATGAAATTATAACAGCCATCATCATCATTTAAATTAGACATTAATTGGAAGATTTAATTAATCCTGCGGGGCGGGGTTTTCTAGGACTTGAAATGTTCTCGCTGTAGCTAATTGCTGGAAAATTGACTGCTTAGTTTTGTTGTTGTTGTTTTAGCACAAAGTACGCTGGCAGCATAGATGCTTAAAGTCTTACATCAAAAAAGGGAAGCGGGGCTGGACCGAACCTGGGCCAGCGCATCCACCAGCACCATCCACGGGAGGCCATCGGGGGCTTTGCAGCGGGTGAGGAAGCTGCAGTGAGCAGGAGGCGATGGAGAGACCCGGTCTCCTCTCCCCCATGTTCACGGCGTGCAGGTCTTTGGGGCGCAGCAGCTGGTTTCGGGGGCTCCCTGCCCTTGAACAGCCCCGGGAAACGGGGGGAAACGGTTTGTGATCTCCCACCTCCGGCTGTCTTGCTCTGGGTTTGCGGTGCTGTCCCCCAGCTCCCGACCCAGGACCGATCTTTGGCCACAGGGAAGCGCAGGGATGGGGCAGGCAGCACGTGGCCAGGATGCGACCTGTGCTGCCAGGGCTGCACCTCAGCCTGGCTTTGCCCTCCTGGCAGCCCTCTCCTCTCTGCTCCTTCCCCTGCTCCGTGCCAGCGGGGTCTCACCCTGCCCGGTCTCCATCCATCCCTCTCCGCTCTCCCCACCCAAACACCCCCCAGCCAGAGCCAACATTTGGGCTGGACTTTAAAAGCCGGCGAGCTGTCACACCAGATGACAAAAGGCCGTTGGCTCACACACCCCCTCCCCAGGATGTGTTTTGTCTGGAGAAAATAATCGTAAGAAAAAATTGATTTAGCCGAGGGGGGGGATCGCTGCCTCCCCCTCCCCGTGGCACGGCAGGACGGCTGAGACCGCGTTGCCAGGTAGCATCCTTGTTGCTAAGGGCTGTTGCGGTGTGCGTGCCTCGGCGCATCACCCCGACGCACCGCGGTCCCTACAGCCCCTGTAGCACAACACCCCAATGCACCACGGTCCCTACAGCCCCTATAGCACAACACCCCAATGTACCGCGGTCCCAACAGCCCCTATAGCACAACACTCCAATGTACCCCGGTCCCTACAGCCCCTACAGCACAACACCCTAACGCACCACGGTCCCTACAGCCCCTACAGCACAACACCCTAACGCACCACGGTCCCTACAGCCCCTATAGCACAACACCCCAACACACCACAGCCCCTACAGCTCCTATAGTACAACATCCTAACGCACCACGGTCCCTACAGCTCCTATAGCACAACATCCTAACGCACCACGGTCCCTATAGCCTGCGGGATGGCTGCGGGAGCGGGGTGGTGGGGAGAGCTGCCCTGCTCCAGGTGAGCCCAGACCCCTCCTGCCTTCTGCCTCTGCCCCGGGGTTGCAGCTGACCTCAAGTAATTAAGCTCATCCGATGGAGCTAATTATGGCATCAGTCATAAAAAAAAAAAAAAAGAAAAAAAGGGCAAGATGGAAATTA